CCCCCCCACCCTCCCCCGCTTCTCACTTGGGGGAACCGTGGAGCCCAAACGGCCACTTGGGCTCCGCGCTCAGCGTGCTGCATGAGGAGCACGGAGCCCAAACAGTTGTTTGGGCTCCCCCGTGGTGACCCGGCTGAGTGGTGCAGAAGTCAGCCGAGTGTCGTGGAGGTAGGTGAAGGGGGGTGGGGCGACATACACGGCCGGGCCCTGCCCCCTGGCTGTGTACATCACCACCCCGCGCCCCTTCGCCTCCCGCCGTGGCGCTCGGCTGACTTCTGCGTCGCTCAGCCGGGCCGCCATGAGGGTGCAAGCGGTCGTTTGGGCCCTGCGCTCCCCATGCAGCACAGGGAGCGCGGGGCCCAAACAGCCGCTTGCACCGCTTGCTCCCCTGCAGTGGCACAGCTGAGTGACACAGAAGTCAGCCGAGTGCCACAGAGGGAGGCGAAGGATGTGACTCAGGCAACAGCGCCACCCAAAGGGAACAGCCAGCATTTCAGCATTAGTCACAGACATTGGGCTATATTAAATAGATTGTAATGGTGAAGCACTTTTTAAACTTTTGATTGAAAGATACTGGTTCAGTCAGTATCTTGAGTATTCTGATGTCTGTTGGGACAAGATTTGAGTGTTTATATCCCAAAAATGCTATGGAAATATTGTGTAACGTTAAGGTTGAAAATTGAATTGCACAGATGAGGAAAACTAAACTTTCACAGTATCTGTAACTTTGGGTGGGTTATGTATGCATAGCTTTAACACTATAGAAGAATGAAAAGGCCCTTGTTACAAAGGCCCACCAATCTTACTTCGGGAATAACAACTGAGATTGTAATCACATAATATAGAAAAGTTTCTAATGTTGCATTATTTTTCTAAATTTGGGTCTTTACTGAGTGTTTTCTACTTGGATTGCTTCCTTAGGATAGTTTTAAAATAAACATATCATAAGCATCTTTTGTTTTTACTAATCTCTGAATATATTTATTCATGATAGACCAGAACTATTCATTTAATACTGTTCAAGTTGAAGGGATGTTTTTTTCATATTCTACAAGAAAATCTGTAACTCTACAACTTCAGAATAAATTAAAAAAAATAAGATATATATTACTTAAGTGGTCCATTTGGGGAAAGATAATGACAAATGTAGCAACTGTTTTATTTTTCACTGTAGAACGTAGAGATTATAGTTGGATTCTTCTGCAACCAACTTTGAGACATGTTGGTTGATAGCCTTTAAGTCAGCAGGGGGGCAATAACCAGCCCATGCAGTTCACCAAGGTTAGCCCCTGGTGGGCTGCCAGCTGTTTACCTGAACCTCCACATGTACAGCCGCTTAAAGCTCCCATTCACCACGGATTGCTGTTCCTGACCAATGGGAGCTACAGAAAGTGGTGCAGTTTGGGACATCACTTCCTGCAGTTCCCATTGGCCGGGAATGGTGATCTGTGGCAAATGTGAGCTTGAAACAGCCATACCTGTGGAGGCGTAGGTAAATAAAGCACCAGGGGCTAACCCTAGTGAACTGCATCCAGCTTATTGCCCACCCTGCCTTTGGTGTTTTATAGTTTAACAAAGAGAGATGGTGTGAGATTTCTGGAATTGTTTCCAGAAAAGTCCAATAGCTGTAGACAAAGCCACACACAAAAAGCAGATTCAAATGACTGCTGAATATCCTGTTGATGCTGCTCCACCAGTGGTGAAAGATACTATGTGTGAATGTGTTGTATATCACGTCTCTCCTGATCAAATCTTTTGTAATTTAATGATATGGTTAGATTGTATTTCTGAGAAATGAGAGGGAATTGACAACTTTTAAATAAAGTTTAGACTGTTCTTTGAAACATTTTGATTGTGCACACACATTCACTATATTATTATGGAGCTGTGTGGGTTGTAAAACAGCTGTGAACATTTCTGGAGAGATGTGTGTCTTCTTGCAAATATTACGTCAACTTTTCTATATTCTGAACCAGACTTACAGTTTGGCTATCTGTAAACTGATCTAGGTACTCTCTGCCAAATATTCCTTTTGACTGGCTTTTACCTTGAATTTCGAAAAGATTGAAGCTCTACTTACATGATATACTCATATAGCTACAGGGTTAATATAAAATAATACACATGATTGGATGTACACTTTTATTCGTTTTGGAGCATGTCAATATTCATTTCAGTGGATATGAACCCAGCATAGTGGATAAAAATCCAGCCTTTACACTGTTAGAACATAAGAATGGCCATGCTGGGTCAGACCAAAGGTCCGTCTAGCCCAGTATCCTATCTGCCAACAGTGGCCAGTGCCAGATGCCCCATAGGGAGTGAACGCAACACGTAATCATCATGTGATTCCTCTCCTGTCATTCATTTCCGGACAAACAGAGGCTAGGAACACCATTCCTACCCATCTTGGCTAATAGACATTGATGGACCTAGCCTACATGAATTTATCTAGCTCTTTTTTTAACCCTGTTAAAGTCCTAGCCTTCACCACGTCCTCTAGCAATGAGTTCTATGGTTGACTCTGAGTTGCATGAAGAAATACTTTCTTTTATTTGTTTTAAATCTGCTTACCTATTAATTTCATTTGGTGACCCCCTAGAACATGTGTTATGGAAAGACGTAAATAACTTATCTTTATTTAATCTTTCCACACCAATCATGATTTTCTAGGCCTCTATCATATCCCCCCCTAGACTCCTGTTTGCTAAGCTGAAAAGTCCCAGTTTTGTTAATCTTTCCTTACATGGCAGCCATTCCAAACCCCATATCATTTTTGTAGCCCTTTTCTGAACTTTTCCCAATGCCAAGATACCTTTTTGAGATGAGGTGACCACATCTGCATGCAGTATTCAAGATTTAGGCATACCATGAATTTATTTAGAGCAGTGGTTCTCAAAGTGTGGTCCGTGACCATCCTGCTGGTGGGCCGTGGTCCCAGGGCTCGCCTTGCCCTCTACCCCCTGCAGCATGTGCTTCAGCTGTGGCCCCCCTCTACTGTGTATGGGAGGTTGTGCCTCATGGACAAAATTTAGCTTTCAGGGGAAAGAAGTGGCTCCGCATGCTATTGTTCCCCCTGCCCCTGGCTGGGGGAACGGCAGCACGGGAAACCATTCACCTGGAGGCTTTCCTTGCTGTTTCCATTGGCTGGAATCACAGCCAGTGGAAGCAGTGGGTGGCAGTGCCTGGCAGTAATCGGAAGCATGGAGCCAGGTAAGCGCACACCATCCCCTCATGCCCCAAACCCTGCACACCCATCTCCCTCACATCCTCCCTTCCACCCTGCTCTTGCATCCTCACCCCAGCTTACTCTTACAACCTACCTCCCACTTTCCAGCCTACTCCTTCACCCTACCTCACATCCAGAACCCCAACCCTCAGCTCACTTCTGCACCCTACCTCCCAGTCAGACCGTGCATGCCAAACCTCTCCTGCACCCATTTTGTCATTATGGGTGGTTGGCTGGTGGTCCATGGAAAGGTCTGCATTGAGCAGGGTGGGTGGCGGGCCAGAAAGTTTGAGCACCACTGGTATAGAGGCAATAAGATATTCTGTGTATTATTTTTATCCCTTTTTAAATGATTCCTAACATTCTGTTTGCTTTTTTGACTGCACATTGAGTGGATGTTTTCAGAGAACTATCTACAATGACTCCAAGATTTCTCTGTTGAGTGGTAATAGCTGATTTAGTGCCCATCATTTTGTATGTATCGTTTGGATTATGTTTCCCAATATGCATTATTTTACATTTATCAACATTAAAATTCATCTGCCATTTTGTGGCTCAGTCACCTAGTTTTGTGAGATACTTTTGAAGCTCTTCACAGTCTGCTTTGGATTTAACTATCTTGGGCAGTTTAGTATCCTCTGCAAATTTTGCCACATCACTGTTTATCCTATTCTCCGGATCATTTGCTCTTAAATGGTAAACCACATCTGACAAAACTAGTTAAGAGCTCTGCTTTTTCCCCTTCAGCTTTCATTAAACTCTGCATATTAATTTTTGGCTGAGACACACTACTTGTTCTTTCCTGCAGTGAAATTTTATTTTAGAAAAATAAAGTAAAAAGTGTCCATTTCTGTCTTCTTCCCTCCCCCAAGTATTTGCAAGCGATGTATTCGAAAGATGGATCATCACTGCCCCTGGGTGAATAATTGTGTAGGAGAGAAAAATCAGAGATTTTTCGTGCTGTTTACGGTGAGTACAAAGTACCAACAAATTCATATTGGCTAAATATGAAAATTATATTCATTATAGGTAGCAATTTTTCACATACCCCAGGATTAAATTATTTGCTGTTTAGCTAGACCCTTACTCCAAGGGGTATTCTGTGTCGTCCCCTCTCCTCATACCCTCTCCAAAAATCTGCACACAGTATTTTAAAATTCTGCATATTTGTCAAAATAATAAAATAATCTACCTGGTTTTGATTGTTTTGGTAATTTATTTTAAAATACTTGTTAACAAATATCACTCTAACAATATAGACAGCCAAAAAGAGTTAGGAAATAGATTCCTTACTAGGCATATTAAAACAGAATTTTGTATAATTATTAATTTAAACTACAATACAGAAACTTATTTCTAGCAATCTCAGAAGCAATGACAGAGGCCTGGGGGAATCCTGGGTAACAGAGGACCTGAGGGAGAGGGAAGTAATTGTTGGGAAGAGGTCTGGGAGTGAGCCTGGAGGTTTGTTGGGTGTGAGTCGGAGAAGTGTATAGAACAGGTTGGTCTTGTGTTTTGCTGGGGAGGAGTTAGGGAGCCTCCCCTGTATAGACTTTGGCTGACCCCTAGCCTCTCCCAGTCAGGCACATCTGCCTGCTCATGTTCCCCTGCTACCCCACTCCCATTCAACACCTGTTCCAATCTACCTCCTACCTCTTCTGAATCCCAGTTTGTGATTCCCCCAGTAGCCCCAGGTGCTCCATTCTGTCTGTATCCACCCACGTATCTCTTGCCACCTCATCTGTTCCTGCAGGCAGGGCAGTGCCCGCTATGAGAACCAAAGCTTCTGCTCTCTCCCTGTCAGCTGCTAACTGCTACACTGGGGAATAGATGAGCTGACTGTCTCTGTTTTGGTGCCAGAGAGGCCCCTGGCGTAACTGCAGAATCTCTCCAGCAGAATGTATTTTCTGCGAAGAAAAAGAAAATCTGAGACATATGTATTCTGTGCATTGTAGTGCAGAATTCCCTCAGGAGTACATACCCTGGATGTGAAGCATTGTACCATTTCACTGTTTGCAGTGTATTGTTTTATTACACAAAAAAGCATGTTACTGTTTTTTAAAGTGTGCAATTAAAAATATTCTGGGGGGAGAAGACTTGGATCAGGCCAATATAATATGCTGGTACCTGGCTCAAGCTGCAGACTCATTCTGCAGCATCTCAATTTTCATTTTAAAAAAAGTCTGTGTAGTGGTAAAGAAAACCCATATGTGAACTGATTGTGATAGCTACATGAATCTGCAGTAAACCTTGAACAAGGAGAGGGTGTGTACCTTAGTCTTCAGAATTTACCAGGCGTGACTTCTGCTTTTGGTGCCAAGAGTGAGTGGTGTTTAGGAGGATGCACTTCTTTCCTTCCCTCAAGGAGGAGCCTGGGAGAACCCAATAGAGAATCTGAGCCCCACTGATGGGGAACGAAGTCCAAGGAACTAAAGAATTGTGATCAGAATGCACCTGAATTTGTGCATCTGTATACCAGGTTGAATAACAGCTCACATGGGCTGACCTTAGAAGAGTACCACTGCCTTTCTCCTAATTTCTCCCCTGCCTTCGAGAAGCTATTACAGATTGAACCTCTCTAGTCTGGGACTCTCTGGTCCAGCAACATCTGTGGTCCAGCTGATTTTTAGCTAGCCCGATGTCCACTTATCCTGGTGTGGTCAGGTTTTCTCAAGTCACGTAAAGTTTTACAGCCACCTAGCTCTCAGCGTTCTGTGCTATTATTTAGCTCTAATTTACCCATAAATGTCTTCTAAGAGCCTAGTCAGCAGCGGAAGAGTTGGTAATCCTGCTAGACAATATTGACCTCCCATGGTTTGGCAAATTCTCTGGTTTAGCACTGGTGTGGTCCCGAGGGTGGCGGACTAGAGAGGTTCAACCTGTAGCAGGTATTAACCATGCTTATTTTAATAATGTTTGAGTCCAATGTTTCAATGACTTAAAATCCATTAGTTCTTTGAGTGCTTGCTCGTGTCCATTCCATGTTAGGTGTGCATGCATCACGTGCATCGTAGGCGGAGGCTTTCCCCTCAGTGGTGTGTGTTGGTCCCGATCTAGCACCCTCTGGAACTATGCAGTTGTGTGCCCATATAGGGATGCCACTGGCCCCACACTCTTCTGAGGTTCCTGTTTACTGCCTGAGATGGTTGCTGGAACAACTCCTATTCCTTCAGCATGATGTTCTTCTCAGTGGTTTCTTATTCTTCCATAGTTTGTCTAAAGTATAGTTGTAATGTATATATTGTAAATCGTGTTAGTGTAAGTAGTTAGAAGCCTAGTCTCCTTATGATTAAATGGCCCTCTGTGCCCTGGGCAGAGGGATGGGTACTCCCTAGGTTTCAAACCTCCTGTAGTAAGCCTGTGCCCATGAGCGCCTCACATTCCAGTTGTCTGAAGTGTTTAGAGAGACTTTCTAGACCCTTGGCACTTAACCATGGTCACTTCAAGAGGGTTCTTCATCAGTCTTAGGCTATATCTAGACTACAGGCTTCTTTCAGAAGAAGCTTTTCCAGAAGAGATCTTATGAAAAAACTTCCGAAAGAGAGCATCTACACAGCAAAAACTTTTTCTAAAGATAGCATCCATTCAGTCTGGATGCTATCTCACATTTAAACTGTGATTACTATGGACAGAGTGGGCACCAGGGGATCTGTGCTTTTTCCTCTTTCCTCTTCTTTTGAAAGAACTCCCTTTTCTCTGTCCACGCATGTCTTTTTCTGAAAGAACTCTTTAGGGAAAAGGCATTCTTCCTTGTAGAAAGAGGTTTACCAATGTCAGAAAAACCCCTCTGTTCTTTCGATTTTTTTTTTTTGAAAGAATGTGATTGCAGTGTGGACATAAGTGACGTTTTTTGTAGACCTACCCTGAGGTGGAGGACCTTCAGTACCCGTTCTATGTACCACCCATTCTCAGTACAGGTCCCCCCGATGACACTTAACCAAGATAACTTGATAGCATCTAGCCTACTGGTATCCTTGTGCACTTCTCTCCTTCCCACTAACGCTACTCATTTGCTTCTGAGAGGCGAGCTGCTGCTCCCACCCTGCTCTGCAGTGAACCCCAACTTTGGTACTACTGTCAGTGTAGACATTCAGGATGTGGCCCCCTTGGATGATGATGAGACTGAGGAAGAAAAGAATCTTCCCCACTCTCTTACAAGCCTTTTCCTCTTCCTCAGACGAGGCTGCCTTGGGACTAAATGTCTTGCTTGCACAGGGTGACTTCTGGGCCCATAAGCGTCTAAAGTGGATGGCAGCTATCCTGGGGCTGGAGATTGAGGAACTCCAGATATCATCCCACATCCTTGGTAACATGCTGGATGCAGGAGCACTTTCCAGGGTGGCTATGTCCATTAATAAGGCTGTAGTGGCTCCAGTGAGGACCCTGTGGAAAACCCCTTCTCTGTCCCCCCCCACCTCAAAGAGGGCTGAGAAGAAATATTATGCCAGCCAAGAGTATGAATATCTATACTCCTACCCTCTTCCGGTGTCCCTTATTGTATTAGCAGCAGACAAGGAAGGCATATGGGTGCTGTCTCCAAACAGAAGAATGCAAAGAAACTCGACACATTTGGGAAAAAGCTAATTTGACTGCTAGTCTCTGGCTACATATCTCAAACCCGCAAGCCCTGCTGGGGAGATACAACTACAACCTGTGGGACTTCTTGTCTAAGTTCAGAGACTCCGTACCTCAGGACTCAAGGCAGGAATTCTCTGCCCTCTTAGAGAAGGGTAAGAATGTTGCCAGGGCAACCTCTGTCCTGGAAGATTTCCTTCCTGGTAGCCATCACCTCAGTCAGAAGGTCTTTGAAATCAAGGGCCTCACATCAGAGCCTCTGTATCCGGTGTTCTTCAAAGGCAAAATCCAACTGTGCCCCTACCTAGCCTTCTTGCCAAAGATGGTTTCACAGTCGCATAGCAACCAGGCTATTTTTCTGATGCTCTTCTTCAAAAGCTTCTCCAGAATTCAGAAGAGCAGCAATTTCACTGGTTGGCTGTTCTGTGCCCTCACTTTCTGTATCAGGAGAACGAAATTCTTTCATAAATCCATACATCTCTTTGTAGCAGAAAGGATGAAAGAACTTCCAGTGTCAGCCCAGAGGATTTCATCCTGGATAACCCTCTGTATTTGGGCACTCCAGTTAGGTGGATGTCCCACCTCTGGCTATGTTAATCAGGCTTCTTCAGCAGCATTCCATATGCAGCTTCCAGACCAAGACATCTGAAGGGCCGCAACTTTGCTTATCGGTTCATGCCTTCACATCCCCCATCGCCATCACCTGACTAGCCTGGAGATGACACCAGGCTTGGAAGAGTAGTGTTGCAGTCAGCATGTCCCTGAACTCTGAGCCCTCATGCTGCTTGAGTCCTCTAACGTGGCATGGACATGATGAGCAAGCACTCACAGAAAAAAGTTACTAAACTTTCTGTAACTGTTCTTTGAGCTGTTTCTCACATGTCTGTTCAATAACCCTCCCTTGTACCTCTCTATCCAAGTTAATCAGTAAGAAAGAACTGAAAAGATGTGGGATTGCTGACACTTCTTGTACCCAGCTCATAAGTGTGCAGCTCCAAAGGGTGCTAGATCCAGCTCAACTGATACCATTGGGGGACAAATCTCGTGCAACAGTGCACAGATTGCATGCACATATTTCACATAGAATGGATATGAGCAGGGCATCTCAAAGAACTTTTACAGCAAGGAAGTTAGTAACCATTTTTTTTACATTTGTAATTGTAATGCCATCCAAAGAACGAATATATTTGTGTATGTTGTTGTACTTGCTGAGTGTTTCTGATTTGAACCTTGCTGGAGTTGGTTTTACTCCATTTTATCCAATCTTAAAATGATATTGCTCTCAAGCAGGTCATTTCCTAACATATAAACTGGTCGCAAGGAATGTCTGCTTTATTGACTGAATAAATGATCAAGATTAAGCACATTTCTGTTTATTTCCAGATGTATATAGCCCTAATATCAGCTCATGCACTCATTCTGTGTGGGTTTCAGTTTTTCTCTTGTGTCCGAGGACAGTGGACTGGTAAGCATGTGTTTTACTTCTACCACTCTAACCAAGCAGTGTTTATAAATAAATAAAAAAATCATAGAATTTGCACATTTCAATTGTTTAACATGAAGCTGCCATAAATATTCTCTTTCCTGCTCATGGCAGCCTATTTTCTTGCATGGTGCCCGGTATCTGAAAGATGAAACAACATAGAAATGAAGCATACAGTTTTAGTAGGCTAATTAACTGGGATGAGATGTGTTTATTTAAAGATTGGATTTTTTTTAAAGATCTTTAGCTCAATTTGTTTTGGGTTTGCAGAAATTGCTGATCCTGGCCTTTGTTGGATTCTATGCTCATTGTCCCTTTTATCCTTAAAATTATGAATTGATGGACACTTGTCTTTCTGGCTGTTGCTTTGCCTTTCACTCCTTGCTCTCCCACATCCAACTGTTGCATCTTTTAACTACTGCAATGAAACGAGTGTGGAGAACACGATTTTTTCCTGCCCAGCAAATATATTTTGCTGAACACATGGTTGAATGTGCAAAGGCAGGGTGGTGGAATTTAGAGTATCTTTACTAATAGATTTTTTTTTCACATGAAAATACTTTTCCTCTCAGCATCCCACTCCATTTCAGTGTAAAATCCCACACTGTGTCACACAGTGCCCAAATCCTTCCTTGCGTAATCAGTGGGTGAGTGGGAGGATAAGACTTTGAGCAGCTCCAGATTTCAAGATGCAGCTTAATTTTCTTTACACTATACAAGGCAAGCCAACCACATCTGCAAGGATGAAAAATCAGGTAGCTAGAACAGCCAACCAGGAGCAGAATGTGCTTCTGCATTTTTTTGTCATGTGCTGACTTCATGTCTAGCTGCCCCTTTCTTTGTCTGGTATTATGTGCAACCTGAGCTAAGGTTTTACAATGTGTCTCACTCAGATGCTTAATGCTCTCCTATTGGTGTCACCTTGTGGTCACCGCAGGGCAAGACATAACGGTGCAGTTGCAGTGTGGCATATGACAAGGCAGAACTGTAATCGCTTGCAAATTAGCATTTAATTCAACAATAAACTGAATTGTCTAGAGCTGTACAGCATCAGTGATGGAAAGGAAAATCTGGAGTTCAGCTTGATTCAGCAGCTGTAAAATACAAACATTTTATCCCTTTGCATTGAAGAGGAGTCAAGCTGTTCTGCAGTTGCTATTTTGCATGTGTTCTTTGGTGTGATTTTTTTTTCGTAACTAAGTTCATTCTTTTCACAGAATGCAGCGACTTCTCCCCGCCTGTAACTGTGATCCTGATGGTCTTTTTGTGCCTTGAGGGTTTTCTGTTTCTCACGTTCACTGCTGTTATGTTTGGCACCCAAATCCACTCAATATGCAATGATGAAACGGTAAATCCTACTCTGTACTTGGTGTAATAACTTTGAGACTTGACTACATATAATTTTAACTGATTATGATAGAGGGACTTTTATGAGGATGAAAATGCTCAAATCTTAAACACATTTATCTCTTACTTCCTTGCTACTGGGAAAATTAGAAATAATTGTTTTTGCTAACAAGCAGATGTTTTTAGTATTGACTTCCCTTACATGATGCAGTATAGCGAGACTTTCAGAAACTTTTTAAAAAAGTTGCATTATCTTTCAGTTGTATTAATGCTCCTAAATTACTTGGACACTTATGAAAATCCCACCCATAATTCTTAGATTGTCAACAAAAGTGACTTGTTTCATTATAATGAAATACATTTAATCTGGTATACATTTAATCTGGTATTAGAAGTGTGTGGTCTTCTGCACTTTTTTACTGCACTAAAATAAGATATTGGTTAATATGTACTGTTAATCCATTTTCCTCATCAAATCCCAGTGTAAACTAGGGATGTTAAGGACTAGTCAACTAGTTGACTATCTGATAAGCAAATAAGGATAGTCAACTAGTCGCTTCCCCCCCTTTATCAGGGAAGAAGGAGGTACTTCAAAGCGGCAGCACCACACAGAGCTGCTGCGTGGAGCCTGGGGTCAGCTGGGGAGTCTCCAGCTGATCCCATTCTCCCAAGTGGTGCTGCCACTTTGAAATGCCGCTGAGAGCCTGGGATCAGCTGGGGACTCCCAGCTGACCCCAGGCTCCGTTCGCATGCCAGCTTTGAAATGTACAAGAGTCCCCAGCGTGGAAGCACCCGCATGGAGCCCGGAGTTAGTGAAACTTCCCACTGGGCCTGGGCTCCATGTGCCATTCCAACTTTGAAATGCACAAGAATGCATTTCAGAGGCAGAAACGTGGAGGTGCCTATTGAGTAGTCGATGGAAATTCCATAGACTACTTGACTAATACATTAATCGCTTGTTAACGTCCTTTGTGTAAACATTGGATGAATGTCATCCAATGTGAGTAATTGACTGAAGATATTAAGGGAGTTGAGTTCACAGTTCCAATCTGAATATTCTCTGTCGCTTTGCAAAGTTCACATTTAGAAATTGAATAGCTGTATAAAGGGAAAGCAAATGGTAAGTGTCAGTGGAAAGTGAGTCCTGTAAATGATCATTTAAAATGCATTTTGAAAGGTAGTCTGATTTGAGTTGAGATTCTTACTGTATCATTTTTGCCTAGATTCAAGTCTTTCATTAATTGCAATTAACAGGTTCTGATTAGCACAGATCCCTGGCATGCAGTGCAGCTAGTGTTCACTTAGCTTTTTGTGGTACTGAGTATTTTACTTCTCATCAAATATGGTTTCAGAAATGTATATTATATAAATATGCAATATATTCAGCAAGCTTTAAATTCTTTCATTGTGCTACATTCTCCACAGTTCTATGAGTCAATCTGATTTCTTCCTTAGACAGAAATGCTAATTTATTTCATACACACTGGTTTGGTGCCTGACTGTACTGCTGCACAGGGTCTGTCAATATCTTCTAGTTTAGACCCTACACACATTTCTCTGTTTGAAGGGGAACAGGAAACAGCCCTGTGGGATCCGTAGTGGAGAGGGCTGGATAGAGATTTCTTCAGATGATGTTGCTTGTCTTCCATTCATCATTAGAGATTTACTAGAGAGAAATGCAAGACATTTAATCCTTGCTGGTCTTGGCTAACAGCATCTTCGCTTGTACCCCTTAATGTTGAAGTGCTCTGTACTGCTATTAGACTCTCGGATGTAACCTTTTGACTGCCAGAATTTGAGTTGTTTATACTAATATTAGATTCATAGTATCATAACTGTCCCCTTTTAAATCCAATTTTTTTTAATCAGGATACTAGAAGATTTACTCAGTATTGCTTGGGTCCTTAACTCGAATAAGTTTTGTTTTTCTTATTGAAATCGTTCTGGTGTGGAGTTGGATATGAGGGGTTCAGTATGTAGGCTGCCCTGAGGGAGGCCAACCCCAGCCCTCTCTTACCTCAGCAGCTTTGGGGCCAGTTGAGAAGCACCTGTCCATCCATGGCTGCTGCAGCTCCAGTGGACACAGTCAAAGGGAAGGGATCCATGGCCCCTGTCTGGACGGACGGACAGACAGGCTCTCTGAAATATATAGTAGATAGCTATCCCTTTCTTCTTTAAGAGATGTCCCCATGGGTGTTCCACATTAGGACGGTGCGCTGCCGCCGAGCCTTAGAGCGGAGATTTAAGAGCAGTGTCCCTGGGGTCATGCATGTGCAGGTATCATACATGTGTGAACCCTCCTCCCCTGCATCCCAACGCTCCTCAGTTCCTTCTCTACCACCTCTGGCAACAGATGGATTCAGCAGTGCTCCCTAGCTTCTTCGCGTCTTCATGATTAGCTCTATTTTAAAACCAGTTCAGTTATATTGTAGTAATTAGTTAGTTTAAAAAAAAAAAACCTAGATGAGTATAAGGTTCTTTTCTCCCAGTTAACTCCTTCCTGACTGCTTTCATAGACATGCCTCACTCCCAGGGGTTTAAGCGCTGCACCTCATGTAAAGAGCCTATCCCGATACCAGATGGACATTCACAGTGCGTCCGCTGCCTTGGAGACCAGCATATCTCCTAAAAAATGTCCTCATTGTGCAAAGTTAAAATTATGCGTGGGGAGAGACAGAGACCTCTGCCTTACTTGAAAACTCTCTCAGACCAGCTGCTGACCCGGGCCAACAGCCTGAGGAACATAAACAGCGGGGAACCAAAAAGCCTGCCAAAAAGCAAGCCTCCTCACTACCTCAGGGGGCTACAGCACCGAAACTGCCGTTTCCCTCATGACCGGTGGCAAGAGCAGCGGCGGCACTGCACCTCAGCACATATGATGCTCCAAGCGTCTCGAGAGCCATCAGCGCAGACAACAAGCGAGCGTGCTCTAAATCATGCTCTGAGGCGTCAGGTGTCAAGTTACCGTCCTCATGAGCTGCAGCACCATCCGGCACTGATACAGTCTTGCCAGCGCAGCATAAGAGCACAGTGCCGACCATGTTAACAGTCCCTTCAGTCTCCACTGCAGAGATGCCTAATGTGGCGCTAGTTTCCTCAGCACCAAGACATGATTCAGTGCCTCGGATGGCTTCCATGCCTCCCACGACGGCACCGACAGTGCCAGCTGGGCATTACACCCAACACAGGGACTTATTAGTCTCCTTGACTTTTAACTCACTGTTTTTAGACCCTGAGCACTCTCCTGCTATGTTAGCATCACAGAGCTCATTGTCTCAGGAAAGATTTTCATCTGAATCTGACGAGGAATTCTCTAGAGAATTCTCCTTACACAGACCAGACTATTTACTCTTCCAGATTTGGGAATATATCTTCATATTATGGCAATCCCTGGGAACTGCCATCTGAGCCATATCCCCACTGGCAATACTGGGACAAATGGCAATATTATCAGAAACACCAGCAAGGCTGAAAACAGCAGAGTGCAATATTGCCCTGCTAAACAAATACAAGAAGGGGACCCACCCACAAAAGAGGGGGCAGCGTTTCTGGACCAAAAAAAATAACCCCCCCTCCAGTGGAGGGAGGGTCTCTGGCCTCAGATGATGCTGCACATTTCCAAGACCTTTTTAAACATGTAGCTGCTGAATTAAACATTCAGGAGGTTGTGGAAAATCAGCATGAGTTAACTGATCTATTTCACTCAGTAACACCGTCAAAAATAATACTGCCAATTAATCCAGCAATAATGGAACTGGTAAAGACGGCGTGGCAAACTCCAGCATCAATCTCTTCTACGACTAAGAGAACAGATAAGAAATATTATGTCCCACCCAAGGGATCTGAATTTCTTTTTACTCACAGAGTCCCTAATTCCCTTATAGTGGAGGCTGCACAACAAAAATCTAAGCAGCAACGGTATTGGTCCAGTCCATCAGACTGATGGCAAAAGGCTTGACGCATTTGGGTGCAAGATGTATACATCTTCTACTTTACAATTTTGCATTTCAAACTATGCAGCTTTATTAAGCAAATATGACTACAGAAATTACACCAAACTTAACAACTTCACCACAGATATTCCCAAGGCTGAGACAACAGTACAAAGCACTGGTATTGGAGGGTCACACGATTGCTAGAACAGCATTGCAAGCTGCATTAGATGCTTCTGATACGGCTGCATGATCTACAGCAACAGCAGTAGTAATGAGAAGGGCGTCATGGTTTAGCTCCACTCCATTCCCCAGAGATTCAGTCTACAGTAGAAGATCTGCCTTTCAATGGTCAAAAGTTGTTTGCAGCTAAAACCAATGAAATTCTCCACTTCATGAAAGACTCCAGAGTAACGCTTCAGTCCTTTGAGATCCACAACCAGGCACCTAGAAGAAGGTAATATAGGTTTCAGCCCTATTTGAGACCTCGATATCCTCCATATGCACAACATTACAATAGACAAGACCAACAGAATAGAGACCGAGGCAGAACCCAACGACGATGTCCTTCCTCTACCAACTCCCAACAGTCGCAGCAGTCCAATAAGCAAATTTGAACATCAGGTCGAGGGTCAGGAGAGCCTCTCTTCTATTCCAATGCCATTGATGCAAGCAAGCCTGTTCCATCCTCAACTGCTACCCTTCCTTAACAGCTGGCAATATATAACCTCTGACAGATGGATCCTACAGATAATTGAAAAAGGCTACTTTATTCCCTTTGTGTCCATACTCCCTTCCTGTTCCCTTTTCAGGGACCACTCTTGTGAGATTCTACTTCAACAAGAGGTAGAGGACCTTTTGCACATGGGGGCGATTGAGCCCAGTCCCCACACAATTTAGGGGGGGTTCTACTCATTACTTCTTGACAGAGAAAAGATTGAGAGGTTGGAGACCTCTCCTAGACCTTTGGGCCTTCAATAAACTTGTTCAAAAACAAAAATTCAAGATTGTTACGCTTGCCACACTCTTACCAGTGTTGGAACAGGATGATTGGTTCTCGTCCCTCGACTTGCAAGATGCATATTTTCACGTTGCCATCCACCCTGCTTTCAGATGTTTGTTTCATTTCATTGTAGATTCTCAACACTACCAATAGAAGGTGCTTCCATTTGGATTCTATGGCCCTGAGGCTCTTTTCAAAGGTTCTAGCGGTTGTCACAGCATATCTGAGAAAACAAAAGTTATCCTATTTCCTTACCTGGATGACTGCCTCTTCAAGTCGCGCTCTCACAAAGATTCCTGCCGTACTGACAGTCACAAGACACCTACTCCGACACTTCAGCCTCCAGGTGAATGAAACCAAATCCATGCTCTCTCCTACACAAAATATACAATTTATAGGAGCATGCCTCGACTCAACAGTGACCCCTGCGTCCCTTACTATGGACCGCTTCTAAAAACTGGTGGCCTTGGTAAACACCTTACAATCTAGCTGCCACACAACAGCACTTGAATGCCTTCGGTTGTTGGGACACATGGCAGCATGCAATTTCATCATCAGCAATGTGTGCCTGCACATGAGATGCTTACAGGGTTGGCTGGGACAGGTGTACAAATCCAGTGTCCATCTGCTATCCAAATCCCTGTCCCTTCCAGGGATAGTAAAGGAATCCTTACACTGGTGTTTAAGTCCATGGAATCTTGTTCCAAAGTCCCCTTCCACCCACCAAACTTTGTTTCCATGACAACAGAAGCATCTCGTACAGGGTTCAGCGCCCACTTACAACATCATACATATCAGGGCCTGTGGTTCAAGAGCGACAAGGACTTGCACATAAATGTTCTGGAACTTCATGCAGTCAGGAATGCATGTGTCAAATTCCTCCCATTCATTGCCAACAGTCAGACTATATATAGACCATGTCGCAGCAATGTTTTATATAAACTGTCGGAGTGGAGCCCGATCTCGAGCTCTTTGCACAGAGGCCATAGCACTTTGTAACTGGTGCCTGAAATACAACATGGTTATTACTGAGTGCTCCTTCTGGGCACCCTGAATACAACAGCATGTACACTCATCAGAGCCCTCCCAACCGAACACAAGTGGCAAATGAACCCGCGCATGTTGGCGGACATCATCCGCTTGTGAGATCACCACACCATAGATCTGTTTGTTACGCAATACAACAAGAAATGTCACCTATTCTGTTCCAGGGTGGGCATAGGCAAGGGATCAATGGGAGATGCATTCCTTAGTAGCTGGACATCCCACCTAATGTATGCATTTCCTCCCATACCCCTATTGAACAGGGTAGTCCAAAAGACAAGGAGGGGCAAGGCCCATCTGATACTTATAGCTCCAACATGGCCATCCCAAACATGGTTCCCCTTTGTATGGCAATTATTTGCGCCTCACCAATCCACCTACCTTACAGCGACGATCTCCTTCATCCGGGACGCCGCACCACCCATCTGAACCTCCACTTGCTACACCTGAAGGCATGGCTCCTGTATGGTTCTCTGAACTAGAGCTGACTTGCTCACAAGTACAAATGGTCCTTCTATGCAGTAGGGCACAGAACACCCGTAAGACTTACCTTCAGAAATGGAAAAGATTCTCGATGTGTGTATGCCACCGGGTGGCTCCTTCAACATCCTCCTTGCCTACCATCCTCTGCACCTTAAACAAATGGGCTAGAGCTGACTTGCTCACAAGTACAAATGGTCCTTCTATGCAGTAGGGCACAGAACACCCGTAAGACTTACCTTCAGAAATGGAAAAGATTCTCGATGTGTGTATGCCACCGGGTGGCTCCTTCAACATCCTCCTTGCCTACCATCCTCTGCACCTTAAACAAATGGGCCTCGCAATAAGTTCCATTAAAGTTTACCTTGCTGCTATTACTACCTTCCACTCTAAGATAGATGACTCATCCGTATTTGCTCATCCATTGACGAGGTTTCTTACGGGTCTGCAGACATCACTCTACCAACACAATCATGAGACCTGCATTTAGTATTGAATGTTCTAACGCGGCCGCCTTTCAAACCAATGGCTACCACCTCATTATTACACTTGTCTATGAAAACTGTTTTCCTTGTAGCCATTACCTCGACACAATGGGTGGGAGAGATCGCAGCCCTAATGGCAGATCCCCCTTATACCATCTTTATTATAGACCCATCCCAAATTTCTCCCCAAGGTTCACTCCTCCTTCCGCCTCAGTCAGACAGTGCACCTTCCCATCTTCCCCAAACCACATGCCAATTTTTTCAAGATGAAAATGAACACATGACCTGTGCAGGGCACTCTCCTTTTACCTGCAATGAACTAAACCTTGTTGAACGTCTCCGAGACTATTTGTCTCAATAGCAAACCATAGTAAAGGCCAGGCTGCCCCATCACAGAGCCTCTCCTGCTGGATTTTGGATTGTATCAAGCAGTCAGAAGTGCTGCCTTCAGATAGCATAAGGGCACAGTCAGCCAGAGCTGTGGCTACCTCAATAGCATTCCTGTGCAAAGTACCCATAAGAGACATTCGCGCAGCTGTTACATGGTCCTCCAACCACACATTTGCAAAGCACTATGCGCTTACACAGGGACCTCTCTCCAACCTAAAACTAGCTAAAGTGGTTCTCTCCACTGCTTTTTTGCCAGATTCAAAGTCCCTACCTCCCTAAACAGAAATAGCTTTGTAGTCACCTAATGTGGAGCACCCACGGGGACACCTGTCTCAAAGAGAAGGTTACTCACATCAGTAGTAACTGATGATTTTCGAGATGTGTCCCCATGGATGCTCCACAACCCTCCCTTCTACTTTGGGATCCTGGCCTTCTCACAGCATCGTTCCGGGGTAGAAAAAGAACTGAGGAGCGGGGGGGAAGAGGGATTGTGCATACATGATACCTGCAACCTAAGATCACACGGCTGCCGGTGTGTGCATGCATAGCCCTAGGGGCACTGTTCTCAAATCTGCACTCTAAGGCTCGGTGGTGGCACACTGTCCTAATGTGGAGCACCCACGATGACACTCATCTCGAAGGATGTCAGTTACTATTGAGGTGAATAACCACCTCTTCACCTCCCCTGCACCTTTCTCCACCCCTACCCCCGATGTCATTCTGTAGTATAGCTCTCCTACCTACCAGACCCTGTCTTTCCATTTTATGAGAAACAGTTGCACATCCCATTGTCCTGACACAACCAAACCCTTATCTTCCTTTAAGTTATTATAAGAGGAGGCTGCAGATCAAATTTGGTGGTTCTAGGTCTTACTGTTTAGGAGGAGTTCTTGGACTGATGGACAGACAGCCGCACATTCTTAAAATAGAGTTTTCTGTGTTAACCGGCATTGCCCCCAACCACAATACTGTCACATCTTCAGGTACACAGGCTTACCTGTGGTTTACCATGATTGACTTAATTTTTTTATTGAAGAAGTACTAATCATCTTTAATGCAAAATAGAAATGTGAGACCAACTGCCTCATGCTACAAAACTACCAATATTAAAAACTTGAGTTTTACTATTATTGTCCATTGGTTGATGGGACCCTCAGATAACGGGAATTTTTAAATAACCGGAACACCCTAATCCCCAACCATGCCAGATAATACAGGTTTTACTGTATATAATAAGATTCCATGTACCACTCAATTTGGCAAAGATTTGTAATCTTCTGTAACGACTATACAAGTGGATGTATCAAGTTTGTTTGTGTGTATATCATAATGCATATATAATTGAAGATCTTCGTAGTCTGAGTTATACTAATTAGAATTAACATTTCTTCAGCAAAATAATGTATGAGAGCGAAGTAGTATTAAAATTGGTGAAATCAAGGTTTCCTACTTATCCATTTAAATCAATCCACCCTGTTGGTTGTTAGGTGAATAACTATTTTTTAAATTTATGTGCAGGAGATTGAGAGGCTGAAAAGTGAAAAGCCAACATGGGAGAGGAGACTACGTTGGGAAGGGATGAAATCCGTCTTTGGGGGCCAACCTTCAGTCCTGTGGATCAATCCATTTGCAGGATTTCGAATCAGGCAACTTTTGCTGAGAGCAAAGAAAGGGGGACCTGAGTTTTCCGTGTGAGCCTAATTATACTTGAACTTGCAAGAATACTATATAAATATTTATTTGGGGCCAGAAATGGCAGTCTCTATATAATCTGTGACCAACTGAAACAAACAAGACATTTGCTTGTAGCAAGCAGAGTTTAATTGTCACAGACATCTCATTAACTTTCGGAAACATCAAACTGGATGCTGTAACAAAAGACAGGTGTGTAGCCACACTAAAGAAGCCAAAATGTTGTCATACTACTGTAACTTATTGTTTAATGGGATTAATTTTGCATTTTTGTTGAACCATTTATTTGATAAATGTTTTGGGAATTACTTGTGTGTTTTATAAAATTAGGAGCAGAGGTGCAGTTGTCAATCATGAGATCAAATAGCTATGTTGGAAGCCAATTTTAAATGGCACCAAGCCATTAGTAAATCCATTAGTTTTCAGGGAATAATGACTTATTCAGTCCTTTAATTTTATTAATATTTTCATTTGTCATGATAGTCAAAATTATACTGTTACGTCCCAAATCAGACATTCAACCCTTCCCTACTAATAATTAGACACTTGTGCATGTGGTCCCATAAACATGTCAGATGCACTCCTCCAGCCCTGCCAAATGTCTTCCGTGATTCATAATAGCATGTCTTGTATTTGGCAGTATTAATCTTAAATGGCATTTAGGTAAGTTCTAAATGTGCCGCAATCAAATATTTTTAGCTATGGGTCAAATTCTGCCCTGCAATACTTGTCTTCAATTCTCAGTGGACTTTAAAGGAACTCATGTAGGTATCTGAGGGACCAGTGACTAGATCCTCTTGTGGGGTTAAAAGGAATGTACTACAGATTGGTATAACTATGATCCAAAGAACAATCATTCTTGTAAGGTCCTGGGGCCCTTTTCCTCCCCCCCCCCCCTTTTATAGATTTACACACATTCAGAAACTGGTAAACAGTTCACCCGTCACTTCAATAGGGCCATCACTGAAAGGCAGGAGACTTCCGTCTGAGTGAGAGAGACTTCCGTCTGAGTTAGGGAATGTAATCCCGAGCCTCCTTTGTGCAAGTACAAGAAATCTGAGTGTAAGATGGAAACTGTGTATTCAGCAATGGGAAAAGTTTGCCATTTCACCATTTTCCAACCAAAACTGCTTTAAAACTAAAGGAATGAGCAGGTAGAAATGTAATTGCTTTTTGTGGGCTGACAAATAACAGTAGTTCTAAGATGTGTTCATAGATCTGCAATTAATGAAACACAGTCTGCACATAATGAAACTGCTGAAAACCGCTATCTAAACACTACAGATAGAATTTTTGTATTTATTGTTACTTTATTCCCTTTGAATTATCCACAGCACAAAGGATAAAACAGGAGCCTTGACGCATAGCTTGAAACTGTGCCTGAAAAGTAAACAGCTCCCTGTTCTGGGACTTGCCTTAAACGTGTCCAGTTTTTGTTTTCACTTTGCCATTAGCATCAACCTTATTCCACCTCAAGTAGTGTGAGATGCTCCAGGGTCTCCCATTTAGTAAGTTTACACTCAGACTGAAAATATTCTTTCTAATTGTTTCTCCATTTCTGTGCATCTTTGTGGAATGTTAATTCTTAATCATTACAGATGCTTCATCACGTTTATGTCCTAGTATGTCAGTTTATTAAGGGATCCATTGATATACCATGGTCCAATGAACACAAATGTGCAATACTACAGAAGATGTAGGCAGTGCTTAGGGAGTAGGTATGTAATATGGAGAATTGTCAGACGGACACATCCAATAAAGCCTCAGACAGATGAACAAAAATACATGTATCATGTAAGTGAGGGGTAAGTTGGGAGTTTGACAAGAATCTTTGAATATTCAGTTCAAAATCCTCCATAAATATTGGAGAAAAATGTGTCTGGCTTTTTCATGAGGCTTTTAGTACGTATATTGTTTAATAAAATATACTGATGGAAATCAGAAAATATCATTTAAAGCAGTTCAAACCTGTGACACTGTGTGTGCGCGTGTGTGTGTGAAATCAAGTTTACTTGGCTTTTCAAACCCTTGTTACGTTGTAACTTTTTAATGTAAAAATAAAGTAATGAATAAGTCTTAAAGTTAATTAACTTCCATTCCCAATCTCTGTCATTATCTTCACCTGTGCTTATTTAGACTGTAAGCTGCTTAAGTCAAGGACCATGTCTCCTTGCCTTTAGATTCAGAAATACACTTACTCAATTTCTTGGTGCATGAGCAAAATTTCATAGATTACAATTTACAAAACCAGAAGGGACCTGCTGTGATAATCCAGACTGTTCTCAGATGCACATTAAATAGCAACCCTTTGTCAATGCTGAAGGACATAATACATTTTAAGGGCATTCAATAAAATGACCAAACTTATTGCTCAGCTTCATGGCCACTCTCTGTTGGCAATCAATGAGAGAAGCTACTGCAGCTGGATGCTTTGGATTAATTAGTGTGTGTTGGGTATCAGCCACCTATTAAACAGTGGTTGTGCATGAATAGAGAATGAACTTCCCCCACCCCACCATGTCAGATGATCCTAAATGAATTCTTCCCTTCAGGAGATTTCATTTCCATAAAACATCACATCTTTTTGTTTTAAATGTTTAGATGTAAAAGATCACATAGTTGTAGAAATCCATACTTCTTGATAAAAATGTAGCCTTCCCTCTTCCTAGTCATGCACGATACAGAAGTAAAGATGTAATGGATGTGGGGGAGAGGGTTGTGTGAACTGGTCTGGGGTACTTACGGAATGATACTTTGTGCATTTTTGTAAATTGTAAATCTGAGTCAAGATTGGTGCATATTCTCTTCTCACTTCAAAGTAAATGGGGTTGAAAAAGATGCTCACTGCTTATTCACTAGTGCTTTGTAACCTGTTTTAAAACCTCCTCTGGGATTAAAAATCCCATTGTTAATGACTTTCACACATTGGCATGTTGAAATACTGCTCATCTTAGCATACTTCCTTTCCACCAATCAGGCCGGGAAAGTAGGGAACCAAACTGCAGTTGACTTAACAGGCTAAAAACTAACTTTTCCCTTTCAGATGTTGCCAATTTTTTAGATTCCCCCCGAACAGAGAGTGAGGATTAGCTGTATCCTGGAATAGCAGGTGCCTGGGTTTCATCATTTCAGGCAGTAGCTGTAATTCTGAAATTGCCAAGAAGCTGTCTATAAGATGTTCTAGATGACCATCTGAAAACACCAGCATCAGAAGTAGGAATCTGTCTTATCCAAAGGAAGGGTAGAGGAAGAGGAGGGCAAGCCACTTGAAGGAAAAGAGATCAGGGTGCCTTTTGGTGGGCCTGGGAGGAACCAAATTGTTCTCTGCTGAGAGCCCCAATATATCTAGTGTCAGCTCTTTGCTTCTAGTGTATACAGGTTTTTACCTCTTTGTCTTCACTGGTAGTTGAATAACAAAGCTTTTGTCTTCAGGATCTTAACCCCCCTCCCCCAATGGCAAAAGCTTTGCCAGGGAATAAAGTATTAGTGTAAATAGTGTGTTGTGGGCCAGAGTCCACTCGGGCCAACAAAGCAAACACCATTCTTGGAAGGGTGGAATGTTCTTTGTCAGCAAAAGTACCCACAGTGTCTTAACTGACTTATAGGGTGTGTCTAGACTACAGGGTTTTGTCGACAAAAGTGGACTTTTGTCAACAAAACTATTCCTGCGTCCACACTGTCTTTGAGTTATGTCGACATAACGTCGACAAAACTCAGCAGTTTTGTTGACGTATGTAAACCTCATTCTACGAGTGTCAGCCGACGGTCAGGGCAGTGTGTGCGTGTGTGTTACACCCAAGTCTTCAACTGCTGAGACACAAAGTCTCGTTGCAGTGGGCAGCCTAGGAGGCTGGAGGGCACCCCGAAAAATAGTTTGTCTGTGACTTTACTGCTAGGACCGGGGTCCCGTCGCAGAGGGCAGCCAACAGGCTCTGAGGCCCCGAGTTTATAGGAAGAGCTTATTACACCTTAGATTTCAGCTGCTAGAATTCGTAATTCCTTCGCAGCGGGCAGCCTTGGGGAAAGACTGAAAGGTGCCCCAGTGGATTGTGCTTGGTTCTGTTACAGCAACTGAAGGAGTCAGGTTAAAGCTTAAACAGTTACTATTTTATTGTTACAGGGTAAACTTAGTTGTTAAATGCTACTACTGTGTTACAGATAACACAGACACTACAAAGGACAGGACAGAAATTACACTAATAAGTCACTTACAGGTACCATGAAACCCTTTGGTTCTCTGAGCTCTTATTAAATGCATGCAAAATAGACACATAGCAGGTATATATTCTCACCCCTGCGTTCCAGACTTGGCGTGGCCAGCGTCTTTCTCTCAATCCCTCGGGAAGAAGTAGGGCGAGGTTGGGTGTCCCACAGACCTCGGGAATCAATCAATACCTGCCAGCAGGTATAGATGATTGGAGCTCAAATGGGGTGGGCGGCTGAACCTCTTTTTATACCCCTTGGGTCATGTAGGCTTCTTCCTGGTTTCAAGTGGCCAATTAGGAAAAATGGCTTTGAATGCCAAGTTTCCCACGAAGGGTGCAAAGCATAATTTACACCTGGGACAATGCAGACAATGGGCACCTCTGGTATGTGATGGGCGAAGATTCCTCTCCTGGGACAGTGCAGGCGTGTCAATTACTGGTACTAGCCATCAGGGCGACGGGAGGTCCCGGGTCGTCAGCTAGCCCATTTACTGTCTGGTTTCTGTTTATGGTAGAGTCAGGGACAGGCAGCACACCTGCGTTCCCAGGGCATCAAAGGCTGACTGCCTTTCTCTTGCTCTCTGGGGGGGAGGAACAAGATGGGGTTCATGGAAAAACAAGATGGGGTTTGTGTCTGGCTACAACGAGGAATAACGCCTTTTGTTGACAGAGTTCTTTCGATAGAAGGCATTATTGCATCTACACTGTCCTTTGCGTCCACCCTGTTATGTTGACAAAGCGGCTTGCTTTGTTGACAGAACTGGATGTAGTCTAGACGCTCTTTGTCGACAGAAGTTTTGTCGACAGTATCTGACAAAACTTCTGTCGACAAAACCCTGTAGTATAGACGTACCCATAGTGACATAGCTATGTTGACGCAGACCAGAAGCTAAAAGCTGTGTAATGTAGACATACCCTTAACTAAAGAATACTTCAAACTTATCTTTTCATTTTATACTGGAGGCCATATAGGTTTTTGATATAGATTTATTAAGGGAAGAATAAAAGTTGGAGGGTGAGGAGGCAAAAGTTAAGAGTGCAGGGAAGGGACTCTTACCTCCAGGTGTAAACCAAGCTACCATTTGATATTTTATCTCTAGGAAGAAGGCTGTAAAACCAGTACTAGTTAATACTTTAACTGGCTCCTTGAAGCATCACAAAATAGCCTTGTGCAAAACAAATTTTGAAAACCGTGGAGTGGCTTTAATGTGGCTATTCTAAAGGTTCCTTTTGATAGGTGGGCTATTTCAGTAAACTCTTGAAAAAAGGAGCTATAGAAACCGCTTGCAAGGATTCTGCTTGCCATGCTTTTGTGTGGTTTTCAAAAGGACTTCTGCACCTCAACTGAGATAAACACCTGCTCTGCTAATCAGTAATAAAACCTTATTCAAAACAATGCAGCCTCTTTATACTAGCAGATTTAAGATTTGGTTTATTTGCAAAGCTGCAAAGACTCCCATCGCTCGATGCTTTCTTCTTTCATGGCAGCTTGTTTAAAAAAAACCCCAAAACCTACCTTAAATGCATTCATATAAACTTGGGCTAATGCTTTTTAGTGGGATTTTGCAGCACATTTTAATAATTTCTGATTTTTAGACCTTCATACACTTCAGCAGTTGAGGTGTGCTCACTTTTGTCTTCAGAGGAATGTCTACACTACAGCTGGGCGTGAGTCTCCTACTTCATTTAAACAGATTTGAGCTGGTGCACCAAAAATAGCAATGTAGGTGTTCTGGCTTGGGCTTTCAAGCCTTGGAGGCTGGACTTGGGAGCTTGGGTTTAAATACTGACAATGCTATTTGTGATTCTCTGGCCCAAGCCCTCTAACATGCTTACTGAAGCTAGAAGGCTTGTTCCCAGCTGTAGTGTAGGTGTACCTAAGTCACCTCTCGTCCTTCAGTTGAAATAGAAACTCTGTGTAGATCAAGGGTCACCAACCAGTAGATAAGGATCTACGAGTAGATCTTGGAGCCTCTAACAGGTGATCCTGTTAGATCCTGTTTGGCCAGGAAGCCATCAAGCGCTGACACTTCAATTGCCCCTCCACCCACTGTCATGCTGCTCCTGCCCTCTGCCTTGGAGTTTCCTCTGGGAGCCTCCTGCTTGCTGGGCAGGATGTGGGAGGGAGAAGATTGTGGGGAGGGGCGCTGATGTCAGGGTGTCCTTTCCCCCACTCCTGTACCCTATCTGCACACAGAGAGAAGGGGATGGAGAGAGATTGGCAATGCAAACCTCTGTCTCACACACACTGTGTGTATGTCTGTCATTCTCACACACACACTTCCCTCTCAGCTCCCGACCCAACACGTACAGGGGGGATTGTTACTACTTTTACTGCTTACAAAGTGGGTTATTTTTGGTGTTTGACTGGTCTGTGCATTTCATCATTTTCATTTACACTTAAATTTAATCCTTTGAGCAGTGAGTTCTAAAATGTTAAACCTGTCCTGGCTGAAGTAATTATCTCTGTGGTAATTGCTGCTCCTGGAAGTGGCTGGCATGTCCCTGCAGCTACTGAAAGAGGCAGAGCAGGGGGTCACCACATGCTGTCTTTGCCTCCAGACACCACTCCTGCAGCTCCCATTGGTCAGTAATGGCCAGAAGAAGCTGTGGGCTCAGTGCCTGTAGATGAGGGGCAGTACATGGTGCTATTGCTGTCCGTGCCAGCTGCTTTCAGGAGTGGGGCAAAGCCCAGGCAGGAGTATGTCTGCCTTACCCCCACTGATCCACTATCCCGAAGCTGTCTGTTCAACAGTGCCCAGCCAGAGCCTGCTTCCTGAATCCCTGTCCCAACCCTGAACCTCCTCTTGCACCCAACCTCCTGCCCCAGACGTGAGTCCCCCTGCACCCAAACTCCTTCCAGAGCTTGCACCCTGAAACTCCGCCTGGACCCCTACCCTGGACCAAGCTTGGAGCCCCTCCCACATTCCCAATCTCTTGGCCCAAGACCGGAGTCTGCATCCCAACCCCCTACCCCAGCCTGGTGAATGTGAGTGAGGATGGGGGAGAAAGAAGGATGGAGTGAGCAGGGTGAGGTCTTGGAGACGGGGTGGAGCGGGGGCAGGTCCGGGAAGGGGCAAGGGTATTTGGATTTGAGGCAGATCTTAGGTTGCACTTACATTGCAAAAGTGATCTTGTGGTTAAAAAGATTGGAGACCACTGCTGTAGATGGAGCTAGTCAATTTATGTCTCCTTTGCTGGTTTTGATATTTCGTATTCCTTTTCTGCAGCCTTGAACTACAGTTGAGGTAGATGATCATTTGTACAAAGGCATCGTACTGTATCCTATGTGAAGTTGTCATGTATTCACTTAAGCACCTTCTCCATTTTGTGCCTAGGTGCCATCCTACTTAGTGTCTCTATTCAAGGGCTGACAATTACCTCAGCAAAGAAGAATGTTCTAGAGCTCTGCTCACTCAGAATATTCTTAATACATTTCCCGAATGAGGCCAATTTTGAAAGATAGGGCAGAAATTAAACACTGTAGATGGCGTCTCTCTAAGTGAACCCATGTACATATTCGTGGCTGTTTAGTCTGCATTCACATTTTTTCATTCTGTTGCCATGTGACTCAAGTGGCAATTCAACTTGCAAATTGAATATGGTGAATGAAAAGCTTTTTATTCTGAAGATGTCTTGGGCTGAAATTACTCTGTTCAGGGATGGCTTTCTGGTTAAGTTCTGCATTTCTTATAGAAATTAGTGCTTTTAGGAGCAGTCCTTTTAGCATCTTAGTACCAAAATAACAAAACATGGGTGGTCCTCACCACAGAGAGATGCACTGTCTAGCCATTAATATAAGGGAAAACTTACCATGTATAGATTTCAGTATTTTCCTTGGTTCTATAATACAGTATGAAATTAAAGTGTACTCAAACCTATACTTGGCGTTTTCCACGTGCTTTGATCTATTCTGTAAAATACATAAATAAAACATTAAAGAGGTAACACTTTGCTTTCTAGTATATCTGTTTGATAAAGCAAGAGGCATACAGGCAGTCCCCGGGTTACATGGATCCGACTTACATCAGATCCCTACTTACAAACGGGGTGAGCAACTAGCTGCTTCCCCTCAGCAGACCAGGGAGACGCGAAGCTAGCGCCCCCCCTCCCCCCCAGCAGACCAGGGAGACATAGAGCGGCTTTTCTCAGCAGACACCTCAGCTTGAGAATGAAGGACTGAGGGAAGTGAGGTGTGGGAGAATAAAACTGAGCTCTGGAGAAATGTTTGGCTAGAGTTTCCTCTACAATATGTACCAGTTCCGACTTACATACAAATTCAACTTAAGAACAAACCTACAGTCCCTATCTTGTACATAACCCGGGGACTGCCTGTACTGTCAACCTACTGAAAGGTCTCAAAATACACATTCTTGCATCTTTATTTAAAAAAGAAAATCCAGAAATCTAATACAGCAAATACTAGAACAACTTCCAGCAATATATTTTAATACACCTTAACAAATACATTCGTGATTTTCTTTGTCAGGGCTGCATCTGTGGGGGGCAGGAAAGGTCAAAGAGTATTTCCTTTTGAAAAATAATTACAACCTTGAGTAGTGGGTGTTTCTGGCTGGTTTTTTGTTTTTTTTACAAATAACACACTCTTAGTTATGAGTTGCTAACAGATTTAATGTGATACCTTGTTTAAATGTATTTACAAGATCAAAAATCAATATGTTGCTGTAGCAAAATATTCTTTTCACATAAAGTGCTAACTACACAATACTTAAAAGCGATAGCCTGGCTGTGTGGCTTTGTCCAGTTAAACAGGTTGGGATATATTACACAAATATCAGTTTGTTTTTCTAACCTTTATATGTTTAGGATGAAAATCTTCAGAAAAAGCATATGCTCAGGAAAATCAATGTAGAAACTTGAGCATCATGACATTAAAACGATTCACGAAAACAAAGCAAATCAGAATGTGGATCCTTTCCAGCTGAATTTTGTTTGTTACTATGGTAATGTATAATCTTCAAAGAATGGAATTTACTCACTTGATAGATTTAGATTTAGCTGCGTTGTTTGTGCAAATCCAGGTAGAGTACATGGGCACTAGGGAGAATGGAAGTATATAATGCTATGTTTGCACCCATATTGAAAGGTTGGTTGGTTAGGCTTGTTTGCTAGATTGGGGCTGTTAAAATCAAAATATTCTTCTAGTTTATTGGCATGTGCGCCAATTTCACAGTTTATGTTTGTGGAACAAAATGGTCACAACTGATATATTACAAATTAGGTTTGGAGCTGAAATTCAACCCTTAAGTGTGTCCCCTCTTTGGGCAAGATCTAGGAAAGACACAAATCACAGAAGTGGGAGAAACAGCTGCTGTTGGAAGACAGCAATACTAATAATTTCATTCTTTCCAACTGAGGGCCCATTCCTTCAAAGGCATGTTAAAAGTTCAGGGAACTCTTGTCTGTGTAAAAACCAAAAGTGTTTGGGTTAGTTGTATTTAGTGTTCTGTTGATCAATTTAGGCAGCCAACTAAGGTGGTGTTTGGCTGCTATTCAAGAATGCTTATTGTATAATTTTATTCAGAGTACTTGAAGCTTGGCTAATTTAGGAATGACAAATTAAGTGCAGCAATGCCCAATGATGTAAAAGCATAGTTTGTTTTTTTTCAAAACACATAGTTCATTGACAGATCCAAGTGACAATCTTAAAACGTCACGAGACTTTCCATATCATGCAGATGAAGTTCTGCTGCAGCTTCGTGTAGCAAAGATGCTTGCAGGTGCATAGTACAAGAAAATATTTTGACAAGCTGATTTTGTTAATTCACTCTTCTAAGATGGTTCTTTATTAGCAGTTGCATCATTCTCAAGAATTACCTACAATATCAATATGATCAAATCTCCTGCCTATAGTTTCACAGCAACACATCAGATTTATAAAAGAAGTAATAGAAGTACAGCAATGCAATAGCTGGGTTCCAGATATATAAACACGTACTGGCTCCTGCATAGTACACAATGCTTATATTCGAATAAAGAACACTTTTACCCTTGATGTTTATCAACTATTGAGCTGTAACACCATTCTTGAAATGGTGACATTCCTAAGCATGGCTGAGTCTAAATTTAAGGTCTGGGACTGCAGCTTTCTGTGTTTGTACATAACAGCATCATAATCTTGTACAATTCCAAGTCTGTGTGGCATAAGGAGGGTGTAGTCTCATAGATTATGAAGAGCACCTCCAATCTATGCTTTGGACAGGCTTTCTAGATTAAGCTTGAAGGACAGCAGGAGGGATGGGAGTGGACTACAACTTTTAAGAGAAACAGCCCACGTGTTGCCAGTTTGAGGTCATTAGCATGCCCATTAGCCATCAACAGTCGCTAATGAGATACTTATTTATATTTCTGTTGTCAAGGCCCCTCTGTGCTGGGTGGTATACAAACATGAAGTAAGGAGCTTGTAGTCTTGGTTCTTCTAAAATGAATAACAGCTTCAAGTCCAAGCTGTTCCAGTAAAGAGGATGATGACAGAGAACAGTGGTGCATCAGAGTCTAATGACGGTGCTATTTTAATCACTGACAAGTAAGAGGGTGTCATCATGCAATATCATTATAAGCAGTGCCAATTGCTGGGCATTGCCATGGTAGAAAGCAGGGCTGGTTAACTTTACACAGGGATGCTGGATATGGCTGTTGCCTTCTTTTGCTTGCCCCTTATAAAATCTCTTGCTTGGGTACGATGGTCTGGGGCAGTATTTTCACAATGGCCTCTGGCCCTGGTGTTGGGCCTAGTTTATAGTCTTCGCTTCCTGTGCTGGTGGAAGGAGAAGGAAGGGATGTGTCCGGAGATGCTGCAAGGGAGGAAAAATATAAACAAGGAATCAAAACTTATTGGGAGACCACTTTTTCTAATAGGCTATGTCTACCCTTGTGGCTTCTTGCACCAGAAATATGCAAATGAGGCTGTGTGGAATATCACTGAGCCTCATTTGCATGCCTAATGAGCTGCCATTTTGCAGAAGAGGCTCTTGCTCCAGAAGGAGCTGTCTACATTGCCCCTTCTTACGCAAGAAAAACCCTCTTGCACAATGTCGTTACGCTGATTATTTTCAGGAATAATGGCATTGCGCAAGAGGAGTTTTCTTGCACAAAAAGAGGCAATGTAGACAGCTCCTGCAGGCACAAGAGCCTCTTCTGCAAAAATGGCCGCTCATTAAGTATGCAAATGAGGCTCAGCAATATTCCACGCTTAGCCTCATTTGCATATTTCTGGCGCAAGAAGCCACAAGTGTAGAAATAGCCGTAGTGTGGTGTCTGGTTAAAGGCGCCAAAGTAGAGTCTCGAGAATCAAGCGGGTGGTATAGCTGCAAGTTCACAAACAGTCCTAAGTGCACATTAGTAGTGCAATTTCTTGCTGTCTTGCGCTTTTTCTGAAATAACTAGTAATGTGCTAGCTTGAAAAAACAACCCTCAACCGTTAAGGTGAATCCCTTTTTTCACAAAACGTTCCGTTTGTTTATAAAATGTTCTGGTTTTGATCACTTTATTTAGGAAATGACTCTGTGGGTTTATCTACACTCTGAAGAAGATTGACCCTCCAAAGATCAATCTTCTAGCAGTTGATTTAGCAGGTCTAGTGTAGACCCTCCAAATGGAACACTGAGGGCAGCCCCTGCCAGCGTCCTGTACTCCTCATTCTGCAAGGAGTCAGGGAAGCCGATGGAAGCGTGTGCTCCCGTCAGCCTCCCACAGTGTAGACGCTCCAACGGCTTGGTTTAAGGTAAGTCGACTCCAGCTGCAAATTTCGCATACCTTAAGCCAACCTGCCTGGTTTAGAGTAGTGTAAGGTAGTGGGGACTACGTAAATCCCTAAGTATCTGAGCCCCTCAGTCTTTAACATACCTCTGTAAGGTAGAGAAGTGCTAATAGTCTCCTTCGTAATCACCTGTTCTTTGGCAACCAACCTAAACAGGCTGCACAAGGGCGGTAAGGCCCATCATCCCCATTGCACAGATGGGGGAACTGAGGCCCTGAGAGACTTAAATGACTTGTCCAGGGCTCCAGACACGATCTGAAGTTCTGAACCCAGCAAAACACTTAGAGGGCAGCAGCTGGTACAAAAAAATAGGCGTGAAGCCTGTTCTGCATACAAGTAGCTTCTTCCTCCTTCCACTTGGGGACTTGGTGGTGGTAGTGGGGTGGGCAACGTTATTAGGAGTTTCACTAAGCAGTGCACTACATTGTCTTCTAAATAATACTTGGGGAAAAATACATTCCTTCTTCCAAGTGCTGATCTCTTAGAGCAACGGTATCCACATTGTGTCTGTTGAATCATGGATAGGTTGCAGGGTGCTGACCGGTCATATGCTGCTGGCTCTCCTAGTTGTGCCCAGCTGTTAAATTGCATTGAAAATTGAGCTTAAACTACCTTAGGGACATTATTGCTAATTACTTTCTGTGCACCCATTTGCTGTAGTTGCTAAGAGACGGGATATGAGTGGAAGCGGTAGTTCATGTGAATGGGGAGAGCTGGTAGGCCACAATGTTTCTATTCTGTTGCAGTCCATGCTATGGGAAAGAAATGTAAGGGGGCAGAATGAGAGCCATCTACAGCTACAGTGAATACCAACCTCAAGCAATTGTGAAAGGATTCATAAAATCAGTTGCCTAAGAATAGAGGGCTTAAAAAAAAAAAAACACCAACCACACTCAACAAAGGTTTACTGGAAGCTTTAAAGAGTCTACACCTGATGGAATTGTCTTTCCATGTAGATCTAATGGGATAATCTCTATTTTGTTGACAATTTTAATGTATGTGTAATAAAACAGCACTGGTTGCTGTCTGCCCCACTTTCTGAATTTTTGCACTTCTAGCTTTGCGCATATAAAATAGTATTGCCAATGTGCTTGCTTTTTAGTAAGTGTCGTGTGTGTGTGTGTGTGTGTGTGTGTGTGTGTGTGTGTATTTTTAAGTCCCTGTTCCTGGATTCAGCTTTTATTTATAAAAAGTAAGGTTTTTGCTCTATGATTGTGGAAGAAACCTGAGAATTGGGTGATGTAAAGGTGCAAATATAAAGAGTTTAGAATGTATTTATAAAGCACCATGATTTGGAGGGCAGGGCAAGAGGGGACTCCTGATTTTTGAATGGTTGGGGTTATTGGTTGTCGAGATGTGAAGAAATTCAGGAAAGCTTTGGAGAAGGTCTAGAGAAAGGCAATAAAAATGATGAAAGGTCTAGAAAACATGAGCTATGTGGGAAGATTGAAAGAATTGGGTTTGCTTAGGTTGGAAAAGAGAAGACTCAGAGGGAAGATGATAGCAGCTTTCAAGTACCTAAAAGAGTATTACAAAGAGGAGGGAGAAAAATTGTTCTTGATGACAGGGCAAGAAGCAATGGGTTTAAATTGCAGCATGGGAGGTCAAGGTAGCACTCAGTGCACAGTCAACCTGTGGAACTCCTTGCCAAAGGAAGTTGTGAAGACTAGGACTTTAATAGGGTTCAAAAAAGAGCTAGTTAAATTCATGGAGGTTAGATCCATCAATGCCTATTAGCCAGGATGGGTAGGAATGGTGTCCCTATCCTTTGTTTGGAAATGGATGACAGGAGAGGGATCACATGATGATTACCTGTTGTGTTCACTCCCTCTGGGGTATCTGGCATTGGCCACTGTCAGCAGACAGGATACTGAGCTAGATGGATCTTTAGTCTGACTCACTATGGCCATTTTTATGTTCTTATTTATTTATTTATTTTTGTATTGACTGGAATAAATTGCCTACTGGGGTTGTGGAATCTCTATCCCTGGAGAAAATTAAGAGCAGGTCAGACAGACGTCTGTTAGGGATGATCTAGATGGTGCTTGGTCCTGGCAGGGGACTGGACTTGTCCTCTCAAGGTCTCTTCCAATTCTGATATTCTATGATTCTTTTAAATAGGTGGACTTTCATAATAGAGGGCAGTGAGATGTAATACCCAATGCACCTTGGGCTTATTTCTGAAGTTCTCTTAAGTGGTAATTTTGCCTGGCTAAAAACAAAGGAAGGATACTGAGATTTGGACCAGCCTTTTGTTTCCTCTTGCAGGATCTGAGATACGTCGGGTCCCATTTAGCCCCCGAAAGTTGAAGTGCGATGGTTAAACAAAAACTAAGCATAGAGCCACAGCAGTTTCTTCCCTAATCCCCCCACACTGCCTGCCAGAAGGATAAGGATGGACACTTACGGTCTGGGACTGCGTGAATCACAGAACTCATGTTGGGTAAAACCATGTGTCCCGACAGAGGTTCCAGGCCGAGGTTAGAAGGCCCTGATTGGTACTGTACATCCAGAGAGGTTCCTGTGTAGGCAAGTGGAAAAGAAGTCACTCTTCTCATTGTTTTTCAACTAAAAACCAGCAGAAGCATTGCTGTGACCAGAGGTGTGTCCTATATTGTTACTGGGCATGGATGAATTGCTTGTAGGTGGAGTGAACGGAAGGATCACTGATTTCCTCCATCCCTGCACCCCTTCCTCCTGCTCTCCTCTCTCCTGCAGCACCCCAGCATTTCCAACTTTGCCTCTGCCTTATTCGCTACTTTAAAAGAACTTGATTTCTGCTGCTCCCAGCTCCAGCAGTTTGGCCATGCTGTTTGCAGCTGTCCTCAGTTCAACCCTGACGCTGTGTCTAGACTGCACCCCTTTTGCAGAAAAGGGATGCAGATTAGACACAGCACAATTGCAAATGAAGCAGGGATTTAAATCTTCCCCGCTTTATTTGCATAAACATGGCTGCCGCTTTTTTCCAGCTTGGGGCGTTGCCAGCAAAAAGCTTGGGGCGTTGCCGGCAAAAAGTGCCAGTCTAGACAGGGATCTTTCGGAAAAGGCTTTATTTTCCAAAAGATCCCCGTCTAGACCGGCGCTTTTTTCTGGCAAAGCCCCGAGCCGGAAAAAAGTGGCAGCCATGTTCATACAAGTGAAATCGGGGAGATTTAAATCCCTGCTTCATTTGCAATTGTGATGTGTCTAAACTGCATCCCTTTTACAGAAAAGGGATGCAGTCTAGACACAGCCTGAATGTATTGTTCTCACATGGTTACAATTTACTTTTTGTATTAATACCCCGGGGGGTACCCTGGGAGGTGTGAGGGTCAGTCCATGCACTAAGGAATATCCATAGCTTAGTGTTTCTTAAGCAACAGAATTCAAAATGGCCACCTTAAAGGGGCAGGTGACCTTTTTTCTGAATAACTTCCCCTAGCCCTTTTTCCCTTGACTTTTTTTTCCCCTCTTAACAAAAAATCCTTGATGGTGTTCATAAAAAAAAATTGTTTGGTGTTACTCGGTCTTAAGTTTAAGAAGCACTGCCGTAGCTCCATCCACCTCAGTGCACCCACGCCAATTTCCATCACCTGCTGCTCTGGCACCAAAGTGTCCTTGCTTCGATCCGTCTGAACAGTGCCATCACTAAATGGCACGGATGCTAGAGCTGGTGTTAAGGCTTTGAAATACCCGCACTTTTCAAGGCATGCTGGTAAGAAAAAGATGGGCTGGATGGGTTTGTACCTCCCAGAAGCATTTCTTGCAGCAAGCTGTCAATCCTTGCCACTCCAAAAAGTTTCATAAACTGGACCTGCTCTATCATTTGCCAGGTGATGCTCTGGAGAGGCGGCAGGAGGAGGAGGATGTCGCTGAAGCGCCCCCGGGAGTCGTACTGCCGGTCATTGATGTAATCCTCCAGGTTGACCTGCACTTGGAATCGCATGTTCTTCACCTTCCCTGGCTCGTTCAGGCCTTTACAATCTGGGGGAGAAAGAGGGACAAACAATTGACACCCACCCACGCTCACACGCTAGAACAGCTCTGCCAGTCAGCCAGGGCGAAGTGTGTCTCTAGTCTCCTTTAGACCTGAAGTTGGAATGTCTCCAGAGTAAGGTGATGAGTCCCCATTAACGTGTTTACATCCCACTGCCCAGAACAATGTCAAAAGGGAAGGGTAGGAGAATAGGAGTTTCTGAGGGCAGGATAATTAACAAGCGGGGGAGAGAGGAGGAGGATAACAAGCCAGAGAAGGCTAAGCCCATCCTACCTCAGGTCCTAGCTCAGAGCACACTCCGCCCCTGAGGCCCTGCTGTCACTCCCACTCTCCCCTGAAGCTCTCCGGGACTCAGCTCCCGCTAGGCCTACCATGAGCCAGGGCTGCCAGGCTCGGCCCAAGGGCGTTGGGCCCATACCTCAGGATGGCTGGTGGCCTAGTGCTGAGGCTGGCCAGGAGGTTGGGTGGCCAAGCAGCTGGGGCATCTCCAAGCATGGGGAAAGGGATGCTCAGGCAGACGGGGGCAGGACAAGTAGAGGTAGCTTCCCTGACACAGGGATTCACCCACCACCCCTAAGAACAAGCAAAGGAAAAGAGGGGACAAATAGGAGCTTAACATTATTTATGCCCCCAAAAGAAGGGGCTGGGTTTTTCAGGTGGGCTGAGGACCCATCCAGTGCCACTGTGAATACTCAGCCCTTTTGCAAAACCAGGCCACTGCTTCTGGGGCATGAATGTGGATGTCTTTTGTCAAAATCCTGGCCAGGATTGTGAGGGTGGACCAAAGGACATTCCTTGGCATGTAAAGGCTTGTGGGGAAGTTGTTTGTGAAGGTGGAGCTGAGAAACTCCTGTTGCTTGACTGCATCGAATAAATATAGACTTCCCCACCAAATTTCCTCAGTTTGGTTCAGACTCTTGCTCCCATTCCCAAAACACTCCATGGCCCAGGCATGGGAAGTTTGCTGAAAGATTGCTTTAAAGCGCCAGGAAGAAGACTCCAGTTGGCATCTCCCCTCCTTTGGCACGATGGAACTCTCCACAATAAGCGTAATGCTCACCTGTGTGGGCAACACCACTCCGGGGTGGGGGGAGGGTGCACTGAGATTGTGGAATGACCTCCCACAGTAACTAAAGAACTTCCCACACTGCACCGCTGTCCATGTGAGCTTCAAGGCACATTGCTTTGACCTGCCTTGGCTCACATCAAGACAAAGCAGCAATTATATATATAGATAAATATTTTTTAAAGGCGCTACCATAAGACACCCCACTGTACGAGCTTCTTGCTCGGGCAAGGCTGAGGGAACAAACGATGTGTGGTCAAACCGCTTCATGCAATGCTCAAAAGCACTTGGATCATAGTGATGAGCTCCATCTAAAAACCTTTTCAGAACCATAAAGGGAAATCGAGATTAGAAGTCTATACAAAGCAGTAGAAATAATTCTGAATGGATTTGGTGCGTGCTTCATGAGAGACCATCCTCTTCTCCTTGGGGAGTTTAGCTGTGAAAATTTCTATCATGCAAGGAGAAGATGCTCAGGGCACCTCAAACCACATACTGCCCTGCTGGACCAGGAAAGAGGCTTTGTATACTGTCAGTCATGAAGATGGTTCTTCTGCCTTAGCTTTTGCAGCGTACAGGTCTAGCTGTGATATGCTGCGTATTTCTATTATTTTAAATGGATTTTCTGTTCTGTTCCTAACGACCCTTTTCTTAGTCTGGATGGTTTTAAGCTGTTTGGGAATTTCACACGCCGTCTCAAAGAATTGAAGCAACATTGAGTGTTTAAGGAGAGGTAGGTAAGTCTGAGTGCCTGCACTTTATTTGGGAAATTCATGAAGAGTATAGACAATGAGTTCCCAAATTGTGGGAAGCAAGGAGACGAAGAGGGAGGGGAAACTCAGAGCTCAGGGGTGGGGGTCTCACTGGACCAACTTGATTTTCATGGCTTGCTCAACAACTTTTGCTGTTGGGGAAGGAGGGAGGGGGGGCCTGAGGGTTTTTCAAAAATCAAAAAGGGGGCGTGATGCCGAAAAGTTTGGGAACCACTGGTATAGACTAAGGAGTCCTCTCCCACTAGGGATGTTGCTTCGAAGCTGCAGCCCTCCACAGACCCAGGAAGTGGCAAAGGGCCGTGATGAGAAATGAGTTGAAGATACAGGTGAGGGCTAGCAGAAGAATGTGTCATTTGGCATTGGCCTCAGTTCAGTTTTCTTTAAAATGGGGATAAAAGCAGTTCTCGGACTCGTTTTGTTGTGAAGGGCTCAGGCAGGTCCATCAACAGGTGGAGCAAAAAAAGCAAGTGAGCTGGGGTGATTGAAAAAGGGTTTGGGGATCTGGCCAGTAACACAGTAGAGCTGGCTGGGGTGGGGGTACGTGGCACAGGGCTAAGATTTGACTGCCCCAGCCTTGCCCCTTCAACCTGAGGTGCCCCACCCCTTCTGGGAGGGAAGGCCTGATCTGAAGCCTGTCAAAATGAATAGGAGCCTGGCTTTGGATTAGGCGTCAAGCGAGGAAAATGAAAGCACCTTCCAGGGTCTGAGCGCGCATTACTAATGGCAGGCTCTTAAAAAAAAAAACCCACATCACGCACTTTCTGGGCCACATTCTTCTGCTAGCCCTCACCTGTATCTTCATCCCCCCCTCACCTTGCCCAGGGGCCAAGCAAGTCTGACGACTCCTTTGGGTTCAGATACGATGGTAATGTGAGTAAAAACATGGGAGGAGGGGACAGAAAGAGCAAGGGATGGACAGTGCATAGCAGGGCGTTATAGTAAATGCACAGCTGTTCAGGACGGTGTGGACTAGGAAAGCAGCAAGTCTCTAAAATTTGAGGGCAAGCCATGCCTTTGATTTGCACACCTCTTCTCTTGTATGCTAGGGGGCCCCCTGTTATCCACTTCATTCATGCCCTTGCCCTGCATTCAGCAACTTTTGGTCAAATTGCTCAGCTCTAACAAGTGGTAAGACACTGGCCCAGAAAGTGCGTGATGTGGGGTTTTTTTTTAAGAGCCTGCCATTTGTAATGCGCGCTCAGACCCTGGAAGGTGCTTTCATTTTCCTCGCTTGACGCCTAATCCAAAGCCAGGCTCCTATTCATTTTGACAGGCTTCAGATCAGGCCTTCCCTTCCCATTTCTTTCCCCCCCCCCAAATCTTCTCTTTATTCCGTCCTTTTGTGCTCTCCAGCCAGGATCATGAGATGTTTGCAAGACCCATTGACGGACATCCTTTCTGAGGTCAAAAGAAGCTGGCAGGCAGTGAGCCATTTGTGTATTTAATGCTCCCTCCTGGCCCCTGGTTTGATCCCAATTCTATGGCTTTGGTTAATTCACTGCAAAATTAAATCTAGGCAATGGATATCTGCCTCTTTTACCTGGCCTTCAGTGCATGGCTAAGCATCAGCCCTTTACAGCTGGGAACCAACTGAAAAACATAACTGCTGTCTGTGTGCTGTCAGTAGCTGAAATATCAGGGCTTGCAGGACTCCTAAACTTTGACCTAATTATAAAAACTATTGTATTTTCATTAATATTTACAAGCCTTGCAGTTATGCCTCTTAGGGAGATGACGGAGTAGAGCACCACAAAATGGTGGAGGATCAGCAGTCCTGACATTTTCAAGAAATGCCATTTTCAAGAAATGCATTTTTTCCCCAGACCAGACACCGCACTTCACCCACTCAGGTGCCCTTTTATTTCCATCAGGATTCTTCTCTTGGAATCCCATGATCTGCCACAGGCTTGGTAAATCTCAGAGGCTCACCTGGGTCAAAGAATATGATCGCTTTAAGGCAGGCATACTCATTGTCATCGACTTGAATGTCACGTAAGGGTTTTACCAACTCATCCAGGATTCGCATAGCTACCCGAGCAATTTCCAGTTCTGGGCAGTGCATGGGAATGATGAAATCATTTCCTGAGGAGATGAAAAAAAATCCCTATTAGTCATTTATACCAGCTCTTCAGACATGGTACGTTCCCAAGTCACCCATTACACCAGCTCTTCAGACATGGTGCGTTCCCAAGTCACACATTACACCAGCTCTTCAGACATGGTACGTTCCCAAATCACCCATTTCTTCAGACACTGCCAGCCATCTTTTCAGCATGCAGCACGTGATGATGTGCACAATTTGCACAAGCAATTTCATGTTCAAATTGAGAATCTACCCGGGCAGATAGCAACTAGATGCATTTGTGTGTGTCATGACCCAACTTGCGCATATGGTTGCAGAAATTGTTCATGCAAATCAGGGTCTACCCTGGGTGTGCTGAATAACATCCTATTATACCTCTCAGCACCTGGCCACAAGAACGTTGTAATTGGTGTATAAATTTTTTGTAGACAGATTTCACCAATGTTTGGTCAACATGTTGGGTGTGTCTAAACTACATGGCTCCATCGATGGAGCCATGTAGATTAGGCTGATCGGCAAAGGGAAATGAAGCAGCGATTTAAATAATCATGGCTTCATTGGAATTTAAATGGCTGCCGCGCTGAGCCGACAAACAGCTGATCGGCTGTTTGTCGGCTCAGTGCAGCAGCCATTTACATTTAAATGAAGCCGCGATTATTTAAATCACGGCTTCATTTCCCTTTGCCAAACAAACAAATCTACATGGCTCCGTTGACAGAGCCATGTAGTTTAGACATACCTGTTGAGACCAACTTTCCACTTCCATCTACAGTGAATAATTCTGTGGGGTTTTTAGATGGTAGAAGGAAACAATGAAAAGGAAATATCTATTTAATCTTAATTTGACCTAATTTCTTTTGAGTGTGGCTAACTGACTTGTCACCTTATTTTCTAGGCATCAGTATCTCAGAGGATGGTTGTCTACATTGCACAGTGACAGGGTGATGAGTAGACATACTTGTGTTGGCTGTAACTTAGCTAGCACGGGTAACAATAGCAGTTTGCATGTGGTGACACCTGTTAGCAAGCAAAGTACATGTCCAGGGCCCTTAGAGGGCTTGGAGTCTGGTTGCTAGCCTGTGCTGAAATGGGTACCACTTTGTCTATGCGACAGGTTGAACTTCTGTACTCCAGCACTCTCTGGTCCAGCAACCTCCGTGGTCTGGCATGATTTTAGTTAGCCATATGTCCACTTATCATGGGTGTGGCCAAGTTTCAAGTTGTCCCATAAAGTTTGTTTACACTCAGCCACCAGTTCTGGCTCTCATGGAGGTTTGATCACCCTTAATCCCATGGATTTTCCCTTGGGATGCAGAGATGAGGCCCTGAATTTAAGATGTGACCATTAGTCTTTAAGTGCCTAGATGGAGGACTAAATACTTAAAAATGGGCTCTTCGGTCTAGATGAGAAAGGTATATCATGATGCAATGACTAGACACTGAATTCAGATGGAAAATAAGGCACACATTTTTGAACAATGACAGGGATTAGCCATATATATACAGTGTGACCATCAGAAAGTTTCCTAAGCTCTTTGGTCCACAAACAGATGTACAGGTGCTATGGAGAGAGGACTTTATATGTTTTTTAATTTTTTTGTATCCACCATGGCAGTGCAGCCACCTCAGGAGAAAAGTAGCAGCAATGTAACAGCATAAAGCCGAAGAGGTGAAATGTACTTTAGCTAGCTGAATGCAAGGGGAATTGCTGGTGGGCAAGGTACACAATCATTATCCAGCATGTAAATCTGCGCAAACTTCAAAGCCAGAACAAACTGTATTATTTTACCTAATAGAAGAAAATCTGTAAAGGGTAGTGACCGTTTAGCAACTCCCAGGAGTAGGTGTTCTCCTGCATGGGCTCTTAGCAAGGCAACCTGCAAAGTACATGGAAGAAACAGTGTTTTACGTTTCAACAGCAGATAGAGGAACACTCAGATGAGTAACATTCTGCTCTCAGTAAAAGTCTGCAATGGCTCCACTGTAGTCGGTGAGATTACTGCTAGGGTAATTGAGAGCAAAATCGGACACTAACTTGACTATATCTTTTACTCTTTTGCTGTTGTAAGCATTACGTTTGCAAACATTAAAGCAAAACTCCTTTTGCAAAGCAAGAACAAAGGAGAACATGTGTATGTGATATTGCCCTGGAAACAGTGGCTATTGTATCCTACCAGCAAAGGGTGGTAGAAAAAAATACAACCTCTCTTCTGACCTGTCATTCCCCCTGCTGGCTTAGCTGATGGTATGCAATATTCTTCTTGGTTTTCAGGGGGTAGCAGTCATTTCAAATTAATTAGTAAGGACAAAAATCTGGCCCTTTAAAATTCTCTCTCTCGTTCAAGGAATTTCTTGCTCTAATGATGAATTCTATTGAATAACACCTGGTTGGATGTTAAAGGGCAGGAACAATGTGTTTATACGATCATAGAATCCTAGAACTAAACGGGACATCGAGAGGCCCTCAAGTCCAGTCCCCTGCCCTCATGGCAGGACCAAGCACCTTCTAGACCATCCCTGTTAGGTGTTTATCTCACCCACTCTTAAAAATCTCCACTGATGGAAATCCCACGATCTCCCTAGGCAATTCGTTCTAGTGCTTAAATACGATGGCTGGAAGGAGAGAGAGACACAGAGCCCTGTTTCACCTGGTCATCCAGTGGAAGCTCACAGAATGCTGGGATATATTTCGCCCATTCGACAAGGGCTAAAAGCTGCTGTTTCATGGACTCACACACATCGTTGATGGTTGCAACCTTTTTCATCGCAATATCAGCACTATGCACTGGACTTAGAGCCGAGTACTAAAAGAAAAACAAAGCAAAATGTGCGTGTGAAACAGGCTCAAGTGTTGCTTTGTTGAACAAAATGCCCAGTCAAATATAGTAGCATATAAGAACGGCCGTACTGGGTCAGACTAAAGGTCCATCTAGCCCAGTAGCCTGTCTACCGACAGCGGCCAGCACCAGGTGCCCCAGAGGGGGTGGACCAAAGACTAAGATCAAGTGATTTGTCTCCTGCCATCCATCTCCAACCTCTGACAAACAGAGGCCAGGGACACCATTTCTATCCCCTAACTAATAGCTTTTTATGGACCTAACCTCCATGAAATTATCTAGCTTCTCTTTAAAATCTGTTATAGTCCTAGCCTTCACAGCCTCCTCTGGCAAGGAGTTCCACAGGTTGACTACACGCTGTGTGAAGAACTTCTTTTTATTAGTTTTAAAACTGCTACCCATTGATGAGTGCTCCTCTGTCACCTTAGAAACAAACCACAATATATAGAATAATGAGCTTTCATGGGCAAAACCCACTTCCTCAGATTAATTGGAGTGGAAATAACAGAAATCAAGATCTATCCATCTATCAATAAACAGCAGAAGTTCCTGTCAATTGTAGGACCTGTATTAATGAGGCTAATTAAGTGGCCTGATACATAGCTTTTGATGTGGAAATGCAGATGTCAATGGCAAAATACATTGCTTAGATATCACTATGGGTTTATTGTTAACATGGGGTTTCTTTAAAGCCATGCTTGCAGTCTCCACCAGGTGGTGCCATGTCACAACAAAGGCATGGTAACTTGGACAGTTCATTGTCCCTGTGAGTTTTCAACCGACTCATCTGACTTTACAAACGGTTTTTCTTTCTGTTGATCAAAAAAGTGCAGGACGGGAGCAGCCTGCCAGTTATTTAAAATGGCAGAACCAAAGAAGCTGCTCACCCGGTCTCCCAAGCAGCAGCTTGTTATGAAATAACACCCTCCTCTCCCCCGCCCATGCACCAATCTCCCTACATCTTTCCAAAGCCCCATGGTTCAGGTGTGAATCTGCAAGCCAGGGTATGAATCTGTTGACCGTTTCGATAGCTTGCTACCCTGTAATGTCTCTTGAGTGTTGCACCACTGCCCACTAAATGTTCCATGGTGCCCTTGGATGAGCATGTGACCTCATTTCGTTCCCATACCCTAAAGTTCCAGGCACGCAAGCCCTGAAAGGCAATGCTCTCTGGTGTATGTTACAAATGCAGCCATTGCTGAAGGAGAGAAAACATTTTTGTATCTAAAGAAAACCCATACCATACATCCAGATGTCAAGGACCATTTACATTGGAAATTAAAAGGATTCCCTAAGTCTTTTTGGTTTTTAAATCCAACTGCACTTTGGAGTGCCGGGTAAGGGAAGAGGAATGGATGATAATAGGAGCATTTGGTTGAAATCCCAGTTGATTACCTCTTTGCTCCTCAACAATGGTGACCCTAATAACGTTCTTACATTTGTAGATCTTGCATTTATGATGAGGGAGCCCTGCATTTTTTCCAAGTAATATACTGTGCCCACAGGAATTTCTTCATGCACCATCAAAATGCAGCCACCTCTTGGGTGCAACAAAGCAAATGAAGTGGACAACATGGCCATGCAGCAATTGGGAATAAGAAGCGAAGCAGGCTACCACATCCAACTGGCCCACCGGTGGGTAGAATTTAATTGCTCAGACCGAACTGTAGCCAGAACATGAATATTGCAATTCTCAAAGCAATTTAGGGGCTTCCCAATTTCAATGGACGTTAGGAGCATTTGTGGATCTGGCCCTACTTGCCCAATTCTTGCAAGAGGTGCTATGGGATCTTTATAAAGACTTCAGGTTACCAGGAATTCAGTTTTGTGTCTCATTTGAAAGATGGCTTCTACGTTAGCATGATACCCTGTAAAAGTAAGCTTGGGCACTACTCCATCTTGGACCCCAATAGAACATGAGCAAATCATTCATATTGCTTCCTGTTGCAATGCGTTGTTCTATCCAAGTGCCATCTAAGGACGGAGTAGACCCTTCCCTGCTTAGTTGGACGCATTCACACCCCGAAGCAGTCATCCAACCTGCTAATGAGGGTCGTCGACGTGTTTCATACCTGCTGTGCCATCGCCTCTGCCTGGGTCAGTACCGTGATGGACAGGGAGCCATTGTCCTCATAGCTGCTCCTGCGAATGCTAATCCTGTCCCGTTCATTCTGCACAGCTTGAGAGAGAGAAGAAAGGCCACATGATGAGTTGGAGACGCCTTTCCTGCCATCGCTGCTCCCTGTTATTTGCTCTCTCAGGGAAGGCTGCAACTTGGTAGTCATTTTATGAATATAATTGTTGACCCTTTCAATGGCTTGTATTAATGAAGTAGAGAAAGAAGGTGGGTGAGCAAATTTTATTGGACCACTTTCCCACCCATAAATATTACCTCCCTTGCCTTGTGTGTCTAATATCCTGGGATCAACATGGGTGTCATAACACCGCCTGCAACATTTGAAATAGTTATTTTGATGTAGCAATTTTCTGATTACATTGCATAGAGGGGGAAGATTACTGGTCACAAGGGCTTCTCTGACTGCTCCAGTGTATCCTACCTGCAGGACATGACCGGCACAACGGGTCCTTCCATTTCAGGGCCTAATTCAGCAACTAAATCCACATAGGCAGAGACCCTTGTGATCATGTGGAGTAGTTCCAGTGGTTTGTAGTATTTGTGCTATGGTAGAACCTAGCAGCCCTGAGGTTGGATTCCCATTGAGCTAGGTGACCTATAGACACCGAGTAAGAGACAATTCCTGCCTTGAAGAGCTCTCACTCCAAATCGATGCTAGAAAATAGTTGAGGATGGGAGGGAAAATAGGGGAAATTGTGTCACCTCTTATATCTCAAGAACCAGGAATAGACTCTTGTAAACTGGGGCTCCATATTGTCTCCAAACTATCCCCAAAGTGTTTCACAAAGTCAGCTGTTTGTCTCTTTCACCAGCAGAAGCTGGTCCGAGAGAGGATATGACCTAACTCACCTTGTGTCTCTCGAACTGGAGCGGAAGCAGGCAGGAAATCAGAGCCAAGGAGAAAAGGTGAGGCTGAGAGTCAGCGACATGGAGAAATGCAGGCAAGCAGATGCCAACAGCTGTAGAAGAAGGTGCTTTTGATGTAAGAGTGATGAGACTATGGTGGGTTAGCAGAGCAGAGCAAGAGCAAGCTGGCAACGGTGCAGAGAGAGAGAAAGACTCATCCAATCCCTGGAAAGTCAATGGGAATTTTTTCATTGACTTCAGTGGTCTGTAGGGTCAGGATTTACATCCATCCGATGTGATGCAGCAACATCATAGAAAGTTTGACCCTCTGAGAAGAGAATTGTGAATGGGACCCTGAATTGAATAGGAAGCTGTTTGGGGGTTGCGTGATGTGGTCACGTGTCTCTGTGGCATCACCCTATTGCCCCCCACACACCAATGAGAGAAATGTTGTGTGGTGTTACTCTTGGTTCTGTTCTGTTCTCTGCAC